CCGGCCTACACTCGTTCAACAAGAAGAACAGAAGCATTCCGACCAAATTGGAAAGCCATGAAGTCCAGACGTACACAAGGCGGCTGCGTGGCCGTAGCTCGTTTTACACTGAATGGAAGCACTCTTTGAAGCAAGCACCGTCCCGAGAACGGTGCACCGCGTTCCCTCCAGCAACAACCGACTGTTTCCTGGAGCCAGCAATCGAGGTGGAGGGTATTAGACAAGTAGGCACCTTGTCAACATTCACATCAGGCGTAGTCACACCGAAGAGCTCAATATACATCTAACCCCTGAAATGCATGAATACTCAGCATACAGGTAAATGCTTCACATCCGCCGTTTTATTGGCCTGAATTGGTTAATCGTATGTAATGGGGATGCATCGTACTTCTCTTCCGCGTGCAATAGTGCCTTCTTCTGTACCTGGGCAACCACCCTCTGGATCGGCCCACAGAATTCGCACCGATCAAACTTGCAGTTGATTCGCAACACTAGAACTCAATATTAGTTCGTCGTAACTTCACCTTGATCATGTGCTGGTAATGCTATTTTTGGTTTGCCCGTGCCGCTTCCCTACGCTAAGTTTGTCGTACAAACTCTGTATGAGCATCCTCGTCAAATTCATTTGGTACACATATAGACATGGCTTGACGTCATCCGTGGCGAGTGGCCGTTCCAATATAACACTTGCACACGCGACTGTCTAGATTTCAGCAGGAACTGTCGCAAACTGAGCGCAATATTATATATATTTCTTAGCAGTAGCCCACAAAATAGACATAGAGCCAGCGAAAACAATGAAATGGAAGCAATAAATACAGAAACCACAAAAAATATAAAACGATAAACGGTACAAAAAAGGATTTATTGTTTCTGCATTTTATTTGTCCTTTTCGATTTTTTACACGCCGTTTTATATATTTTTTCTCTTTAGTGTGTGCGATATAAAGTAAGCGAATCAAAACAAATTTTCGTACCAATTTTCCATTGCGCCCGGTTTTGCGCCATCTGCGAAAGAGTTTCCACCCAGCGATGTTCTTCAACGTTGATCTCCCAGCCAGGAAGACGCTCGAGACCTAAAACAGCCAAACTGGAATTCGGCGCTTTAATCGTTTGTCGCCACGTGATAGGCTGACCACCGCACGATTTCTTCCAGCCTGGTACTGCACGAGCGAATGGAGCGCATCGGGTCAGTCGTTCACATAGCGTGCGCAAAACGTGGACCAGCCATCTAAGTTGGTGCAGCGGCACCAGTCTGTCAAGGGGAAGTCCCGTCTTACCTTAGACGTGACGTCTAACATAATCCTTGCGCACTTGATTCATCGACCATACTCTAAGAAGAATCCTGTGGTTCAGGCAATCGAATGCTTTAAAGAAGTCCAGGTATACGACGTCAAATGTTTGCCTGGCATCAGCTGACTTCGTGCAGCTTGTTCCGGCTGTGAAAAGTTTACGGTACAGGACAGATTTCGTCGGAATCCATGCTGCTGTGGCCATATAAAGTTGTTCGCAGGGTATCTCATAAACGCTTTTGCAATTAAACCTTCCATAACTTTGGACAACACTGAGCGGAGTGTGATTGCATGGTAGATGGCTGCGCACTATTCCCACTGTTGAAAATAGGAGTAAAGATTCCATATTTCCACGTGGTTGGGACCTACATTTCCTCAAGTGGTCATCGGAAGAACCGAGCCAGTGGTTCGGCAATGTGAATGGCGGATGTTTTTTATGCGGTTCATCTAATATTGTCCACACCAGGAGATCTGTGCATGGGCACGGACAGTGGTCTCCTCATCACAGTTGGAGCAGTGAAGAAAAGGTGACATAATCCTGAGGACGCAGTAAGCTGCGTCATGAAAGGGGGACTTGACTATTCACTGAAAGTGCGGGTAAACTGCTCTCGAAGCTCGTTCGCCACGTCTTGTTTGGTGGGCTCCAGACTACCTACTGTACGTAGAACTGGGTTCCCGCGCTGCAGTCACCAGATCTTGTGTACGTGTCAGTAGAGCAGCCTAGATTAGTAGTGAAGTTATTTGCTAAGTCCTGTTAGTTTTTGAGTTTCTCTGCGCGGACTAATTTGAAACAATGACTTCGCTGAGTTACATCGGTATCTTAAGCCTGCGAGTCCGGACAGACTTTATAAGCGGGCCATGCCAAATCCCTTAGGGATATACATCTTCATGTCCAACTCTTCAGTAAGTTGTGTTTCGGGCGAATGACTTTGCTTTCAGGTGTGTTCGTTACTAGCCCACTGAACAGCGTGATAATTTCCTTCGAGTCGACGTCGGGGGTTTGCTCAGCTGGGAAAGATCAGTTAGCTTCTTGAACGGGGTCAAACAGTGCATCGTAATAATGGGTGACGACGTAAATTTCTTCGCTGTTTTCCCATATATATTCCGCACCACAGATATTACGAAGCGCAGCATGGCGTGCTCGCCGCGGCCAAGCGGTCCACTTATGTTTACCGCATTAATCATTAGTTACTCGTTGGTGAACAGCTCGTCTAATGTAGATGGATCATTGCCGGTACTGCATCTCATGGGGCGGTGACGTGGTTATACAGCTTTATAGTTGCGATTACGTTTCGCACGTCCGCTTGGAATTGTCCGCTGAGCGAAGCCGACATTTCGGTTGTGTGCATGTTGAAGTCTTCCACTAAAAGGAGGTGATTATATGACAGTAAGAGGATTCGCTTTATAGCAGACGCTAGGCGGGGATCCATTTCCAGAGTGGACCTTGGAAGACGGTAAATTCTTGCAAGTGAGCACACATCACCCCGCTGCAGTCACAGGCGGTATCGGGCAGAGTCGACAAGTTGCGTATGTAGATCTTTGCTGATATAGAGTTACAGGTCAGATCGGTAGTAAAACAGCACTCTACCTCTTCTGCTGGGTGGCTTTTCCGTAGGAGAGTCATGCTTGGTCAAGTTATCTCGGCATCATTGATCTCAGTATGCAGCCATGTTTCAGTTATCATAAAGATATCCCAAGGAGTGGAAACCAGACGAGTATGAAGCGCAGTTAACTTACTGAGAAGAACCTGAACATGGGTACACAAGCAAGTGATCGCCTCAGCGATTAGCTGTACGTCTGTAGATGCCGCTTATGGGTAGGGGTTATGCTGACCATTGTGGAGTTGGCTGTCGGTCCTTATTTTGTAGAATCGTAATTGCTGGGCCCCGGAAAGTTCCCGGTTGGTATGTAGAGTTCGTGGACTCAGTAGTTTTGCTGCAAAACTAGACATCCTTTAGCTAACAAAGCGTTTTGACTGCATCTCGGTTCTGAGCAGCATGCTAGCGGGACAAACACAAGGGTTGCGTGTTCAACCTCACCTTCTCTATTTGTGGTTTGATGTTCATCGGCTTTATACATATTTAGTATAGCAGTTTCTTGCACAATTTTAGCGACGTTTCCATCACCTTTTCAGCCATGAGTTTGGTTTGCAATGTTACTTTTATCACTCGAGAACCGCTCGCTCTGTAGTTAGGCTACCTTACAATCGAATTTGGGATCACATTTTCTAATGCGAGTAATTCGCGGATGAAGCGCCATTCCTCCCAGACATGAACGTTGGCCTACGGCTAGCTTGGAGTACACAACTCGGTGACACCGTGGATATCGTTTCACTCTTGGATAACGCAGTAGCCAAACGCAACTGACGCCTTCCATTTGCACATGTGACATCAGCATAGGTGACTGAATAGTTACATCCAGTAATATCCTTCCTGCTTTCTTTTGTATGACGTTGTATCACGTTGACAATAAATCTTGGCCACCACAGTGACTTAGTCAGCATTAACAAGTACATCCTTCGGATTAAATTTTAACTATCTCTACCAATTCTGTGCAGGTTGATTTCACTTATACCACAGCGTTCAAGCCTCATCAGCTTGCGTCGTGATCAGCGCGTTACTTAATCAGCAACCCATTAGGACGCATCTGAATATAATCTGTTGAAGATTGCTACGCATGCTAACCTGTTCTGGGGTCCAAAAAGGGTCAGTTCCGCCGAATGATGCAGTAGATTGATAATAGGTCATGGGCTCCGCTTTATCATTCTAATTTAGAAATACACTTTGGATGCGCTTCGTGGATTTCACGCTATCCTCAGTTAAGATGGAAAAGATGCACAAAGAATGACCTCAGATATTTCATTTGTAGGGCACAATATAGTGAACACACTGAGTAGTGCTTACTTATTAACTGAAGCACATTGTGTGTGGAAACGATGGTTGCTGTGGACCGACAACGTGTAGTTTTGGCAGGTTGCTGATATGAAAAGTTGCAGATAAGTGCGTAAAAGCGTAAAACTGATCTGGTGATGCAGTTTCGCCCAGGTGATTCTATTCCACTGATATGCCCTTATCAGTTCACTTGAGATAACTACTCATGGTCGGAGAGCCCATTGTTGGATTTCGCGGCGTCGTGCTTGAGATCAGATGGAGCATCCAAGTTTAGTGAAACTAAGCTTTCTGAACTGCATAGATTGGCTCAATGGTTGTTGCGGATGTTCAATGGGTGCCCTTCACTTTGAGTGCTTCAGGCATAAAACATCAGTGTCAATCACATTGGCCGATTGCGTCGGATACATACTTTTACAATCTATAGTATCTCGTTGACTTCTTGTGTGCGCGGTTCAAATCCAGCTGTACCATTTGTAATTCTAACTGGATCCTAACGGTGCAGCACCCTTAATAATTTGAATGTATCATTAATTTGTATCTAAATTTGACCTTCACGATTGGCGTCATTTTATGCACCAATCCTCTTTTTATCCCCAAGGGTTATGCAAGATTGCCGAGTGTACAACTTGGTGGCCGTTAAATTTGCCATACAGTTACACAAGATGCGCTGTGCTGTTTGAATTGCAGATATACTGACTCTGAGAAAGTGGTAACCATCGCAAATATTGCAGAGTTCGTAAAAGTCGATGGTACCTCTACTCAGCTTGACAAGAACGGAACATGTATGGCTACATTTAACCCTTAATTTGAGGAGATAGGAAGGGGAATTGTGCTACAACATTGTGAAAACATTATTGGAGACAGATAATAAACTCAAAAGTATATTCCAATTGAATTAGAGGACAAAATAAAATATCACAGATATTTTAACCGGCGTCCCGGTGAAAACGAAAATAAATGCAGCGCTCTTTCCTCTGCGGTAAAACTGCGGCTCCAAAAGAAATCAGAAGAAAAATAATTTGTGATAAAATTTAAACTTCAGTTGGCTGGCAGTATTTGTGGTTTCATACTTTGCGCCTCCTCTGGACTGATTTCGCGCTGGTTGCTCTCGAACTCTTGAACCAGTGTGCTTAGTAGAATTGAATCGTCTTGCCGAGCTCCAAGATCTTCCGGATATAATGGCACAATTTCAGTTTTAAGGAAATCAGCAATTTTATACACATACGTTCTGTTGGGACCGTGGATTCCGTGTGCGCAAAATATCTGGTAGGCCTGTTAAAAGCGGTTGGTAGAAAAATCAGAGTGTAACGTATAGTTCTTTGAAAATGTACATCGACCGATCAATAATCACTGACAAAAATAAGCAACTCTCGTTATTCTCCCACAACGCAGGAAATAGTTGTCATCCTTTTCCGCCCGAAGCTTCCGCCACCGGACATGCAAGCACCTAGTGAATTTATTCTGACATAAAAACAAAGCCTTGGGGTTTCTCGACTCTAATTTCTATCTATTTAGGAGTCAGTGAATGACAAACAATGAAACATGAAATGTCGCCTACTTTCCATTGGGAACAACGTTATGGTGGCGGCTGCACTAAATGTGCATTTTCACTTTTGCAGTTCTAAAACCCACAATGATTCGCACACTTTCGTTGAATCCTTTGAGAACTAGTTTGGTTAATCAGATAAGTTCTTTGTTTCTCCTGTAGGTGGGTGCGACTTCTTGAGAGCTAATTTGTATCTAATATCCTAAGTTCGCTCACCACACGAACATGCTAACTTTGTCATCAACAGACTAAAATATTGGTAATGAGTAACATTTGCAGCTGGCTCAACTCCCATCTATTGTGATTAAGTAAAATTTACCTAATGTATCCAAAACGACCGAGGTGAGTTCAATCTTAAATTAATAAAGACGTGAATGCGGAGTATATATGTTAACGAATAACCAATCGGTAGCAATCCATGATAACCTTTTAGCGACTGCTCTGCAAACCGCTTTGAAAACCTCCATGAAGACTTTACACGATCGCATCTGTCCAGGCTTTTCGCTCAAAGCCATTGTCATCATACCACATTAGTTGTTAAGCTCTATGCAACGCAAAGCATTGTCCTTCATATCAGTGCATAAGAGTTGGGTGACTTGCTGTAGATGTCGGTATTCAACTTAATCAGTTACTCCAATGGCTCTTTTCCGACGCATTTGCTATGTGATGCGAAATATTTCTTTTCCTTTCCCAGAGGCAAATGCTAAGGAATTTTTAACAAATCTTGGTGCTCAATGCTACCAAATGCTTGAATACGTAGAACTAATAGATAAAGTTTTGTTTAAATCCGTTCTTCATAGGGATAATGCGATCGGTTCTCTGTTTTCTGCGATCTCGCCATAAAATTGATCGAATGTTTTTTGTCCTTGTATATCGGTTTCCTCCTACTTGGCGGTAAATTGGCATTTTTTAGCTTGCTGCCATTTTGCGATTTTACTTTCAAAGGACAGTTTTGGAACAGTGGTTTGCAAGTGTTGTGCAAAAATTTGAGTTTTGTCCAAGTTCGCTTGTTCCAAATAGTTTTGGAGCACCGTTTTCCCCGCAATACGTCAATCTCGTTCTCCGGTACTTAACTAACGTCATCCATCATCTCTCCGGTTCAGCTTCTGACTATTTGCTAGTACATTTGTGTTTCGTCTTCCGTTTTGCACTTTGTTCTAACCCGTAACTCTTTTTGTTGACTGCCCTGCAGGTAACAGCCCGTCAGTTTTACGTTTTGATTCTTGTTTCACATTGTTTTTGGAAGTGTCATGTCGGATTCACTGAATATCAGCGCTAATGTGTCTTCGGCTGCATTACTCAGCGAAACTAATGCTGTATGCCGCGGTATGAGCTGCTCAAAGTCCGTGAGGGACGAGTCTGGGGGCATATAATGCTATGTATGCAACTTATTGTAGCATGGGTCCTGTACCACTCTGAGGTCTGACTAGTACGCAGTGCTGTCGACTAGCCATAGTATGCTGCTCAATTGCCTTGTATGCAGTAGCCGTCGGTCTACGTGTCTTGATGTCCCCGAGAAGGCATCGAGCAAACTAGGGCTGAACAACCAACTTGCGTGGTCTTTCCTCCCATCTCTTGACCGTACAGTAGAGTTACTTAGGAAGAAAATAGGAGTCTCTTTAGATGTCGGCTCATTGGAAGAAGTCAAACAGCCAACCTCACTTGCTATCGATGAGAATCCTACCGAAGTGACGGGTACCGTGTCGTGTGCCGCAGCTACTCAGAATGCCTATAACGAGAAATCTGATGTCGCACTGGACGTCGAACAAAGCAAGTCATATCTTATAGCCCCTGTGCCTACTACAAGTCAGAGGAAGAGGGCTAAGAAAGTCGTAAGGCCCCCGCAAAGCCTAAAGGGACTAAACACATGAAGGTGTTGGAGATATAGCCTAAAACTCCAACTCCAATCACCCCACTTCCTTTGACGAAGAAAAGCGCCGTGTCAACTATTGCCAAACCTGCAAAGACTGAAAAGAGTAGGACGGTGAGAGCTTTGGAGGTAGAACGAAAAACCCTCAACCTCATTTACTCTAGCTCGTTTGGCGAAGAAACCCGTCATGTCACCCGCCAAACCGATCGAAACTGGGGTCGAGGCGAAGACTCGTTTAGTGAAAGAACCTAGGCAAGGTGATTCTGTTACTTTTAGCAATGTTATCTCCCTTAAGTTTGCTGAATCCGCGGCAGCTCTTCCAAGGGAATGCATGCTGGATGGCCTCCAGTGACCCAAGCGCTGCGTCACCAACATGCTTACACTTGAATTTTTGATGTCACTATCAGAAAGCTAACCAGACTGGGGAACATCCCAAATCTTCGACCCCAACTACTTCTATTAGTCCTCTCAACCCCGGAGGAATGCAAAGCGTTAATGCGCTTTACATTTAAACTCAAGGGTAGCAATCTCAGCGTTGGCCGGACCTCCCACTGTCAGATCGACTGAAGTTAGAGGAAGTCATCAAAAGCCGCAAGAACAGGCGGGCGCCTGGTGGGCAACGCCACCGTCTTGTGGGTTTTCAGGTGGTTAGCCGGTCAATTGCTGCCTTACCAGAACCTCTCATGGACGTGTTTAGTTCCTTCCGGTAGGGCTTAGCAACCTGTGTAGCCTAAGGAGCAAGGTACACGAGGTAGGTCTACTTGTTGACAAATCTATTCCCGACATACTCGCCTTCACTGAAACATGGTTGTCTCCGGATATCACGGACAGTGAAGTATGTTTACCTGGCTAGGCAGTGCTTAGATGTGATCGTTCCTTTGGCCGCCAAGTTGGGGGCGTCGCTCTTTATATGAGTTGCAAACTGGATATTTTTCGGACTTATGTTTTTCAGTCGCCGGATCAGGCTGTTGAAGCCCTGTCGACTATATTGTGACCTTCCCCTACCCAATTTGCAGTTGTAGTGGTACATCGACGTCGTGGAAGTATTTCCAAGGAGGTTACTGAGCTTATTCCTACTCAGGCTGCAAATAGGTGTTTAATACTGAGGGACTTCAACATCCCGGGGTCTGCTGGACTAATCTACTTTGCAGTTCGGCAGTGAGCACCTACGGTTTGGATCTTGAGCTAACGTTGCAACTGCCCTTGCATCAGTTCGTGGATCTCCCGGCTAGGTACGTGAGCAAGCAGCTTCCGTCTACATTGGATCCCAGTTTTACAAAATCATAGGATTTCATAGGTGAAATTACCTACGGATGCCATCTACGAGAAACTGACCATGTCTGCATATCCATTCGATGCGTTCTCACTAAGTATCATCACTAAGTATCATCAGGCTACTGCTGAGGCAGGTCCAAATATTTGGCGGACAGAATTTGATACAATGCCAAACAAAGCTTCAGTTATCCGTTGTGCGATCTCCATGGCTGACACAGTTGAGTCAGCCTGGGAGAAATTAAAGGCATACATGACAGAGATCTCTGATTCTCACATGCCCCTCATTAAGAAAAAGAGACATGAGCGTAGCCTCCATGGGTAGATTATACAGGTGAATACTTGCTCCCGAAACGGTCAACGTGCTGGCGAACTTACCAAGCGGCTTCATCAACCAACACCTATGAAAGCTATCGAGCGGTTAGAAATAAATGTAAGCAACATCTAAGGACTGCTATTCTTCAGTACGAGAAGGAATTAGCGGATACAGCCGCAACAAATCCATAGAAGTTCCTTGCTTACGGAAAGGTACGCAGCGGTACACACTCGTCTATACCAGCGACGGGGCCCATGTGCAGACTGACCAAAAGCTTGTATACTTAATGAACAGTATACTAGTGTCTTTGCTCATGAGATCTCTCTACCTCAGGTTGAGCTGGTCACAAAAGTCCCGGAGGATCCTTGCCTAACTAATATCAGTATAACGGAGATACAAGTCTTCCGGATGTTGCTAGGGCTAAATCCTTCTAAAGCTTCTGGCCATGATTCAATTCATCCGAAGATGATGCATGAATTGTTCGCTGAACTAAGTAGCCCTCTGACATGCATGTTTACAATATCGCTCGACAGCTGTGCCTTCGGAATGGAGGGAGGCAATCATCTGTCCGAATTTTAAGGGCGGTGACAAGGCTCTACCCGCGAACTACCGGCCTGTCAACTTGACGAACGTAGTAGTTAAGTTGTTTGAAAACTGATCAAGTTTTCAGTGGACAATCACCCGAATAAATTTAATCTTCTCAGTGTTGCACTGCATGGTTTCTGTAAGGAATTTTCGTGTCTGACGAATTTACTTGTAGCTCGTGAAAGCTGGGCTGGGGCAGTAGACAACGGTCACGCTATCAACGTGCTTTTCGTTGATTTTTCGAAAGCCTTTGATACTGTCCCGCATCAAAGCCTCACTAAAGTCGAGATCATATGGGATACCTGACGGTGCCCTTAAACTTGCGTCTGCTTTTCTAGAAGGGAGAGAACAGTGTGTACGCGTGGGCCATAGCCTTTCGCTTAGACAAGCTGTTCTTAGTGGCGTTCCGCAGGGCTCGGTTCTAAGGCCGTTGCTTTTCACTACTTATATCAATGACCTACCCCAGGAGCTTGAAGTACCGTCGCTGTTGTTTACTGATGACCGCAAGTTCTGGAATATTGTCAATATCCCTTGGGTTTCTGAGGTAATTCATTGTGCCTTGAAAATGCTCTGGGTTTGGCCAACCTTACAGTTGATGACTATAAATCAGGCAAAATGTTCTGTCCTCCACATTGGAGAGCTAACCCCCCACGCGCTAAGTAGTCGGTTGAAGTGCAATCCCTGTTGTCACGAAGCAGATGGATCTAGGCGTCGTCCACACCTCAGTGCTTCACTCTGGGGACAATTGGAGGAAGGCTGCTTGTAGATGGTTCTGTATGATGTAGTTTATTCGCCGCTCCTTCGGTGTCCTAACGGCCAATATTTTTGTGAAGCTTTTCTCAGCTTTCGTGCGACCCCACTTAGAATACTGTATCCAGGCTTGTTTACCAATGTCTCGTAAGGTACAAAATGGAACTGGATAGGGTTTTGCGAGTGGGTACAAGGTTTGTGTAGGGTTTACGGAGGCAAACGTGTTGTAAAGTTTGCTTAACTTGGTTATGTACTCAATGTACTACCGGAGAATCAGAGGAGGCGTGATCCTCAGTTACCGTATCCAACCGGGTAATATCGCTCAAGACTTGTCCTGGCTATTAAGTCTCGCCAAGCTAGCTAGTCTACGAGGTCACCCATTGAAGCTGCACAAACTGCGTTCTGACCGGGTAAGGAGGAAAACTCGCTTGTCGAACCGGGTTACTGAAAGCCGAAACGCTCTTCCGGAGCACGCCGTTAGGGAATCTCCGGCTGAGGGTTTCGTGGGTCAGTTAGATGCTCTTGGGTGGGAGTACCAAACCATACTTTTCTCCTAACCGACTTTTATCTTCAGCTTTATGCTCCTACTTTTCTGGTTATTCTCATATCTTGTCATTATCATTACAGAGCTGGCATTCCTCCTCTTGGTTTCTTAGCTTACCCTTCACTCTTTCTTACTCCACATAAATCGGCCTGGCAGGAATTGCTGGGTAGAAAATGTGGGCAGTGATTGTTTGGACAGGGTGTGATTCAGTCTTTATTTTAGACTACTACCTTTCAAGCTGACCAAAAGATTCCCGGTTCAACGGTACGCAAAAGAGAGAACGTTCCCGCGATTCTCCCATCGTTCCGGCCCGAAATGCAGTTAAAGTTGCAGCAATGTTTGCTTTTAATTTTTACCAGTCCTACGGACACCATGAGTTGCTTCGTTCCATATGCTTCTTTCTCTAATTGTTAGACACGTCCAGTCCGATCTCAGGAAACGAGGGACTGATGCTTGCAAGCTAATCAGTAAACCCATGCAAAATGTACTACCATAGGCTCACTTGCATGCAAAATAATACCGGACCCGAAAGAAGCGAATGACAGAATGGGCTGAGTGGCTTACTTATCCATACTCTATACATATAATAGCATCCATAAAACTAAATTAAAAAGGGATGGCATACTGGTTGCTAAACCCTGCACAAGGCCAGGTAGGGCATAAAAGTACGACGGAAACTTTTTGAAATTCTAACCTGTATGTAAATAGTTCCACTGGAGAAGGTTCTATGAATGACCTTATTGGTTCACTTGAACATTTTAGATATAACCATATCTATTAGTATTGCTTACCTCTCATTCTTTATCTTACACTCAACTTAAGAGTTATTTAACCGTGAAAAACTAGAAAGTTTTATGTTTTCTTCGATCATGCTGTAAAATTGATCAGGTCACTCGTTTAAATTGTACCTCTCACTGTCGAGAGAGCCGTTAATTCACACATATTTATTTAACTACGCGGATGGGTCAAGCTGTGACCCACTGATTCAGCAATATCGACGGGTTAACCACGGCTGAAGCTATATTTAATCTCACTAGCTGTTATCACCGCACATCAGTGAGTAATACGGTCTATCACCTGTGCGGAACCGGTCCATTCAGCCATGGGTTGCTCCTATAGTGTGGTACTAGAAAATATAATTCCAATCCCATTGCTGATGATTGCCAAGGGTTTGCGCTGAAAATTCATGCTTCTTCTAAATGCTCATTTGCTGCCTGTATGCATGTAAACGTGACGATATCCTCTGTAGGTGGTTATGTATCTGTTAACTATGACAGAATTAGTACCTAATGAAGACAAATAGCACCCGCTGGTACAAGTGCGATAAACTTGGTTGGCCCTATATTAGGTTAAAGGAACGAAAACAGCTTGTACATTAAGCTCGGAGTACTGATATAAATGTCTGAACAGAAACGTATCTTTTTAATCCCCTGGGATATTTCGTGTAGTCATTTGATCGTTGGCCCAGATATCTATTATAATTAGTTGTACATGCCGCTTACGGAACTTCCCTGCATCTCACAGTAACAAGAATACGATTAATTCACTGCTTGTTTCTTCAGTAGTTGTTTTTACAATCTTGGTTAGGCTAACTAACTGCGTCTCATTGTTTTGTACTTTGTCTAATAAAGCAAACACTAAACGTATCTAATGCATCAAAGGGATGCCTATACATTGCATTTGGTTCAAACCCATCTATAAAAACACTAAGACGGAAACAACACCGCGACTTTTGATAGCTCGCAGTTCGGGTGGAAGAACGACTATCACCAAGTAAGCAACACGGCTTCAATTCCTTCTGCACTAATTCTAGTGTAGTTGTGCTCTTCGTCCGCAACAGAGATGGCTTATTGAAGAAGAGTTATGACACAAACGTCGCTTTACGTGTGAACGATATTTTCAAATGTCTTCACCGAATAATCTGTTGATACACAGGAGGATCCATTCATTACTTCTACAAGTTGCGTCGCATATGACGTGTGCAAGTGTCTGTGCATCGACTGGACACATGGTCTCACAAGGCGTATTGGCTCATGTCATGCTCCGTCTGATACATCGGTGACCCGTCGCAGGATACTAAACATATGGTATTTTCATCGACAGTGAAAGGCACACTCCAACTGAATGGTCTGATCATTACTGACAGAGGGAATGCACGGAACATAGAAAATTTTCGAGAGTTCCAGAACAGTTCTCAGATTATTGAGGGAGGAGCTAACAGATAAGGTGCGTCTTTCAAAATGATTCCTAAAATGATAAATGTGGGTAAATTCCAATGTTCAAATCAAGTAATACAGCCATCCATGTAACTATTTCCTGGGGACCTGCTACCACGCGTGGAATTCCTTCGAAAGATTGCAGTCGCAGTTTCATGCCCCAATTGGCAGTATGCCGATGTGGGTTTAAAGCAGCTAAGCTAAAGCGCATTTTATTCATCTTTAAGGTTATTTTATATGGATATAGTATGGACACTGCAGCCATGTAATCCGTACCAGTTGTCAGTTTCATTTGCCAAGCACGTTTTCTCGCCATTGAGCCAAGGGCAATACGCCTTGCATGGGTATAATTAGTAGCTTAGAAGCTTCAACTTGTCATCTCGGGAGACTGATCCAGACATGGCCAACAGTGAAGTAGTGGGGAACACAAAATATTAGGAGGTGATTGGGTAATAACCGTACTGATAAGGAATAAAGGGATAAAACTTTGTTACCCTGTTTCCAAGTGACCGATTAACAGTGGACATTGCAATATTCGGCTTCAGTCTATACCCTCATAATGTGATCTTTTTTATTGGCACTCTGAAGATGATATTTTAGCCTCAGAGTTCGTCGACGCATCTCCCCCTCAACATGGGGGTAGTAATTGCTTACATAATGCACCTTTTTCTTTGCCGATAAAGTAAACGAAACCTTTCAATCATTTACATTAAAAGTGTGGATAATTCTCAGTAGCAAAAACGAATACTGACATAGTTCGTAACACGAATGCTAACCTGCCATGGGAGAGTGACCTCGACTAGACTGCGATTGGCACTAGGATCAGTGACAAATACCGCGGCACGAATGATACCTGGAGAGTTGATTGGCACAAAATTGACCATGGCCAATCTGTAGCCCTCAGATATTTCCCGATTACAAAGTTTGTCAAATGTCGCAATCTTATTTCTACGATCACTCAGTTTGTAAACCGCACCCCATGTACGCTCTCCCGGAGCATGAACCAACGATGCCACACGTCCTGGCTGCAAAAAGGCTTGTGTCAAGAGGAGAAACAATTAACCACCCAACTGTCATCACCTAGCATGTGGCTAGCGTGACATAGCTTTCGTTTCACATTATCCACATAGCCGAGTATGCGCTCGTCCGCTTCGAAATCGGGATACCATAAAAGTAGACCATAAGCAAACAGCCAAAATGTGTGCGAATCATCGTCGATCACTTCAGAGGAGAACTTTTGCAGGTCAATAAAATCCATTCCTTCAGGTGTTTGCTTGGCAATGCTCATTGTATTTACCATGGTGCTGAAAAATAAAGCGTGCACTACGTTGAGTACGATAAATAAGGAAAAGTGATTTTTACGGAAAAAATGGATATACTTGACTTAGGTAGCATGCTGTAAGAAAGTCTTGATAATTCGCTCCAAAGTTCGAGATTAGCCAGCGTGGAGAACTTGAACTTAAGCTTTTGACGTGAGCCCTCGGCACCTTTGAGCGACGGCTAGTACCATTACGGATTAAATCTTATGGTTGTCCACACTTTGAACATTTAATTCATGTCTGGTGTCCATGGTTAAAACAAGCCACCCTGGCCTCTTACAAACAATGCTGAGGTAACCAATTGAAACTACTGACGCAACACTCCCGCTTGAAGTATGGCAAGTATTTTCACTCCCCCGGAAGCTGTTCACACTAGAATGCACTACCAAAACATATGGTGAACGCAACAGACATCACGACATTCGTAAGCCTATTAGGGTTTCAGCTTAGGGATAAAGGCTGATGAAGTGCAATACCATAACGATTGATTATTCACGTACCAACTTGGAAAATTCGGATTTTAATTTGCTTTTACATATGCATCCTGTACGTCTTGTAAAGTTATACTTTTTATCTCATCCCACAGTATTGAACTATTTAACTATTGAAGTCGCGTAGGATGGGTGAAGTAAATATTAAAAGTAAAATGAGCAGAGGGTAAGTAACTCATTACCTTAAGCGACTACCGATTTAATTGCGCTGCTGCATGAAGATAGTTTGAAAAAGGAATGGTATGTGCACACACAAAACCATGCAGATAGCAGTTATAGATCAGTAACTCCGTGAGAAATAAAAAGGAAGTGATAACGCTCACTCGTCTGCCGCTTCATTTGACCGCTATAATACCTCAAGCCATTTTATTAACATTCATGCTACTCATAAAGTTATGCGAGTACTCTCACCGCTACGTTGCGGCGTGCGCCGCTAAACATATTGTTTGGCTTGCGTTATTGCGTACTCCGAGTGAAATTGACTACATTAACGCAAATGGGAAAGTGTGTCATCAGATCGTCTTTCGAAAATTGTTAACCTGGAGGTAAGGATGACGTCAGTTGGAAGGGGGGTCCAATTTCGGGACACCCGGAGGGAGAATGCGTTTTGTCACCAATCAAGTCTACTGTTGGTCATGGCCAGTTTGAGCTAGTGGCCACTGAGTTCGTTGTTTAGGCTAATCTGCAACGGGCAACGACAAGGGTGAACTGTGTTCGCCACTTTTAAGTAAACCACAACAAGATCTACTCGCTGACGACGATACTCGCCACTGTACAATCTCAGGGCATGCAGCCTGCGCTGGTAGTGGAGGTGAAACAATTCTGAAAAGAGCATGGTTCCTCTACGTTGTGGAATTCAATTGCGTTGACGTCTTTCTTGCGCCGACGATGCCAGACCTGGGTCGCGTATTTCAGGTGGGGCCTCACGTAGGCGTTCAGCATTTGACACACTGGACGTCAATTGGGCCAGAAATGGAGCTGCGAACTCCCAAATTCAGTTGAAGTTCGATGCAGAAGTTAATTATCCAATCAAGAGAAAGATCACTGATTACATAGCTTCGAAGCTTATGAAGGAGAATGCGACGGTCCAGACGATACAACACTTTGAAGAAATCCAGAGAGGTCACCTCGACGCCTACTCTTGCAAAGACTGATTCTGTCCAACTTGTTAGAGCTTGCATCACATTTGTGGTGCTGGACCGATTTTGACGCAATCCCTGCTGCTGGGACACTAGGATATTTTTGCTATTAAGGTATCTCACGGGCGTCTCTGTGCTTAGACATACCACTAATTTGGATAGCACTGAGATGAGAGTGATCTGCCAGTAGTTCGAAGACTCCACTCCACTGTCACCCTTGTAAATAGGAGTGAATATTCGATCTTTTCACATTGCGGGTACCTGCGTTTCTTCACGACCATGCTGAAAGAACCGAGCTAGTGGTATGGCAAGGTTCATAGCGACTGTCTTCAGTACCTGCGGTCCGACGTCGTCCGCATCATTACAGCTCTACAAGCGCAGGGAAAATAGTCTTTCTTTGTCGGCTGCGGTGCACGACAAGTAAAACAACACTGGTGGCGGTGGCATCTGTGTTGAAGACGGATAACTTTCCGGAACCATATCCGTCCTTTACTAATGCCACAGCTGGCATGCATCTGTTGCACATTATTAGCTTTTAATTTCTTCAAGTATTGCGGCACAGTAGCTGAGGTACTTTCCACATCTAGCTAACGTGTATAATGAATAAAACAACGGGTTAGATGATGACTCACTATGGAAACTGTGGAGGAAGTGCTGGCGAAACACGCTGACCGCAACTTGTGCGATTTGCTCCAGATCAACTGTTGCACATAAAACCGGGATCCCCGCTGCATGCTACGGCGTTTGTTGACGTGATTATACAGCAACTTGCTGTTTGTATTGAATGTCGTCGCTAAGTTCTGTTGGTGCTGGAGTTAGTCTTCGCGTATCAACTTGACGCAGTGGTTTCGTTGAGCTGTGTAAGCACCCCACGTCAGATTAATTGGACAGACTTTGTAAGCACGCCAAGTTGAAGCTCTTAAGGCGCCTCAAGAATGAGTTCACTTGCTTCGGGCAGAAGGCCTATCTTTCTGACGCTTTTGCCACTAGTTCAGTGAATTTGGTGACAAACAACATCCAGACGACCTCGGCATCTTCTCGGCAAGGAAGGACCAGTCAGTTTCATGAACGACTTTGGACTGGATATCGTAGTGTGTAAGGACATAGGTTTCGTCCTTGTTCTCACTGATATACTCTGATTAGCCGCTGTAACGAAAGAGCAACATCGCGGGATCGCTACGGCCAAGTGGTGCATTTATGGTCGTGTTATCGACCATTAGTTCCACCTTCATGAATAAAAAATCTGAAATAATTAGTGAGTCGCTGTACTAGATCGCGCTGGAGAAGTGTTACTGTTGTATAAAGGTATATCGGCGAATAACTCCTGCTAGTCAGCCTTATGTTGTTCGATGAGCGATGCTAGGATTTCGACTGCATGAAGATTGAAGTACCCCACCAGAAGGATGTGACTATGTGGTCGTAGCAGACTCCTTTCATCGCAGCAGCTAAGCTTTGATCCATTTCCAAGGTGGACCTTGGAGGGCGGTACACTATTGCTAATAAACCCACAGCATCACGTCACAGGTGCATATGACGCCTAAGAGAATCGGCAAATTGCTTTTTCGTGGAACATAGATGATATCAATATGCAGGCCCGATCGATAATAAGGGAGGACATCCCCACCTCCACTAGGTCAATCTTTTCGTATGGAAGTCATGCCAATTGGAGCAATCACAGCATCAGTGATTTCCGTGTTCAGCCATGCTTCATTGACCATAACTATATCCCATGGCTTGGGGACCTGACAAATACGAAGTTCGGTTAGCTTGCTGAGGATATCTTGTGTCTTACGTACAAGTAGGTCAAGGCATCAGAGGTTAGAAGCGTATCGGTTAATGCTGGTTTTCGGTGAAGGTTTACGCCGACCTTTGTGAGGTCGGCTGCCTATCGCTTTTTCGTAGCATCGACAATACATGCCATTGGAACATTCCGGGTCGGTGTTGAGCACGCAGTGTGGGCAATAGGATGACCGCTGTGTCCTCCTTCAACTTCCGGCGTGTTTTGACACTTCATGGTGGCGGGGTATTACAGGTGAACTGATGGCCAGTGTTGCCCTGTCTATTCGTGGCCGGTGTCTATCGCTTTTAAACCTATTTCATTTGGCAGCATGTTACACTTGTCATCAGATCAGAACAAACGAGTACCATCCCTTGAAGATAAACGAAAAAGGGTTCCAACTATACTGCACGGACTGTTGTATGCTCAAATGTCCCTGAATCTATCGCTAGCACATTGAGGGATAAGTTATCGGAGGACCAAGATGAATGGAACTCATTGTGTTTGCAGATGAGTGTCAAAACCAAGCCCATAAAATTATTACGAATTACTCGTCATCCGAACACGCCACACTATGGAGAACCCAGACTTATTCTAGTAACACCAGAATCTTCTACCGACGTAGAAAATGTTTTGCTCTCCACAAGCGCGCTAAAACACGGATCCTGTGGGATAGGCATCTATCCTGATGTCCCTTGGAGCGTGCGACAAGCGAAAATCAACATCGAAGTGGGGCACAGCAAGCAAGAAGGCCTAAACAAAATCTTCAAATATTGGGTGCCAGGACATCCTTCTAAAAATGTTTAAGTGATCAGAAATCACGATTTACTACAGTGGGGTTCATACGTGCAACATTTCTTTGGATAATATTGTAGCAATATCGCTCAGCACGATACCTCTCTCACCAAATTACAGAGGATGAGGCCCTAGAATTCTAAAACTTATGGTTCTGTCAGAGCAACAAGCAATCAATATTTTGGATCGATGGCGGAGAAATCGAAATGGTCTTCCGTCTGAACTTCGGTTAAAGGTCGCAGATGCTTTGCACAGCTCAACTATTAAAGCAACTGAAGCAGCAAGCCTACCGACAAATGTACACAAGAGTAAGTTGACTGCTAGTATAATTGACCCTGACGTAGGTTGGGACGCACCTTGGACGAATCGAGTTGCAAAGGAGGTATCATTATACCATTAAACAGTAACCGTCAACAGCCCATCCCATCGGTAGGCGTTGTCCCACGCTTGACCCCTTCACCCCTCTATAGACTCCTAGAGACCGAGAAACTGGCCTGCTTGTACACGAATGCGCAGGATCTTTGTACTAAACTAACCGGACTTCCGAACCGTGTGATATCATTGGTATCACTGAGACGTGGTTGCACAGGGAAATGTAGGATGCCGATGTTTTGCTACCGGACATGTCGCTGATCCTGGCCAGGCTCACAAAAGGAGGAAGGGTATCCCTGTATTACCGAAGCGACTTAGAGTGCGAAGCCGTGGAGGATTCAGACTCGCAGTTCCCCAACTCTCTTTGGTACCGTTTGGAGTTAAAAGGCATGGACGCTTGTTTAGTGTCTT